GGGTTCCCCCCCATGCCGGTCCTTTGCCAGCCTCAGTCACCAACTTCTGCCAAGGTCTCCCTTTGGCCTCCAGAAGGTCCGACTCTGGAAGAAGGAGGGCTGGGCTCCTTGGCCAAGAGCCATCTCCCCCTCAAGGGCTGCTCCCTGGAGGCCTCAGCCCAGGCAGTCCCAATGTGTTCCACTCCCCCTGGAAGAAGCATGGCTGGGGGGCTTTCTTCAGCCTCTCCATGTCTCACAGCTCCTGCTGCAACGTGGCCCTTGGCCAAAGGTAGGTTGCTGGATCGAGCCCCTGTGGACAGCAAATGAGCTGGAGGATAAGGCTCAGACCTGGAGGGGGGGAGCTTCCTGATGGAACTTCTGGCTTATATTTTTAGCTTACTCTTCTGACCAACCCAAAATTTGCGCCATTTTGATTAGGAAAACTCCGTGCCCTTGGCATAGACCCAACCACTTTCCTCCTGCCAGGCACTTCAACCTGCCACACCACCCACCAAGTGGAGGAAGTCTGAGGGCAAAGAAGGAAACGCTCCTCCCTGTGCCATGATGGGAAAGGCCCCTACACCAGATCCCTCCAGTGTTCCCAGAACTGCATGTGGGGCAAAAGGGGCCAGAAAGAGTCAGAATCCACAGCCCGGCCATTCCCCTGGCAGGCCCCAGAAATGCAGGAGAGGGAGCCCAAACTGAACTACAATATGAAGTCCCCTCTCCCCATTCCAAAAAATGATGATCAGAAAACCATGGTTCTCCCTGAGAAGATACTGTCAGCCCCACTAGGTGGACCAGACTGTGAAATCAGCTAAAACTGTTTTTATTGAGATTGGCTCTAATTGCAGAGTGTTGCACGTCTGATTGTGCTCTACCTCCTCCTCCTCCTCCTTAGACTTCCGTGAACCAGGGAGGTGCCCGTCTGAGCCGCTTCCGAATGTTATCTGGATGTTCTGCGCTTAGAAGAACGTTTCAGCCTCATTTGCCTAGGTAATGGTTCTTGCAAATTCCCATCAAGCCATCTTCCTTATTCTCTGCGGGTCTCTCGTTGTGGGCCAGGCAGTTCAGTCTGTGATGTCTGGGAGATACACCCGCCCGCTGGCGTGACGAGGATATTGCAGAGTGTGCGCGCTGCTACCCTGCCCTCTTGGGCAAGCCAGAAGCAATGATTGCCAAGCCTGGCCTAGTGAGCCACTGCTGCAGATCTGTGCGTTGGCACAAGGGAATCTGGCTCTGCGTTGACAGGCAGCTCGGCTTGAACAAGACAGTCAAGATGCCCTGAGGGAGAATTCATCCTGTGTGACTTAGTCAGGCGGAAGGGTGGGGTGCTTCCTTCTCTAGGTCAAATGCTTCCAAAGGAGCAGGCCAGTAACAAACCAAGCTACCCCACACAGTGGCAGGCCTGTCTCTTCCCAGGAGGCTCAGCACCAGGCTTTGCCCCCAGGACAGCAGTAAGCTCTGGACTGGGCCCAGAGACGCCGCCTAGGGAACAATCAGATAAGGGAGGGTGTAGCCCGTAGCTACATAATGGATGGAGAAAGGGGCTCAGAAGGGACCCTCCCTAAGTTCCCAGGCTGTAAAGGTGACAGCGGGAGAATTGTGCTTTCAGACTTGCAAGATTCTGTTAATGTAGCCTTAAAATAAAGTAGAATTAGCTCATCTGGTGACGTTTCCCGTCTGGTCTACCTGGGAAGGCTGTCAGTTCAGGACCTGAGTTCCCAGAAAACAGCTCACAGACATGACATTCGCCTACTGCAGGCCTGATTGCAACTGTCTAATCTGCTCACCACAGGCCTCAGCAGTCAAAGCTTTCTTATTTATTTATTTATCATACTTATATAACCGCCCATCTCACACCAAAGTGACTCTGGATGGGGTACAGCACTTGGTCTGTGCTCCAGAGGGGATGGTCGAGGCCAGTGTTTCTCAGACTTGGCAACTTTAAGATGTGTGGACTTCGGCGCCCACAATTCCCCAGCCAGCTGAAAAGCCCTGAGCTAGAGCAGCTCTGGCAGGGCCCCGTCTGCAGATCCCACCAAAGGACAACTCACCACGTCACGTGACAGCCTGTCCCACTGGCTAACAGCTCCACCAGGCAGCATGTTCCTCTTGCTATCTGAACCTCTTTCCTTGTAGTTCAAACCCATTGGTTCACCATCGTGGTAGCCCTCAGAGCTGCTGGCTCACGTTTAACTTTTGGAAAGGACACCCTCTTGCACGGATACTGCCAAGCCTGGTCTGACCCCTCCTAAAATGCGCAGATGCAACACCGTACATTCCTCCCTGTTTAATTCCATCCTACTCGTTGCAGCCCACTCCTCAAGCCTGTCTCTTGCACACCACCTCTGCAGGCAGAAGATGACAGAGGAGGTCTTTCCGCATCAGATGACCCGTCTTTCAAAGAGACATGCAAAACAGTCATAATGGCAGGGTGGGAGGTAAGGGGCGGCAGTCTATTAACCTAATAACGGCTCTGAATTTAACTTTGCCAACACTCAGAGGTTCAACAAATTATTATCCTGTCTTGCTGAAAGCTTTGTCAGAATGCAGGAGAAAGAACAAGGGGTCTGCTCTCATGGGCCTGATCTTCACCAAGAGGGAAGAACTGGTTAAAAATGGGAAGGTGACCAGCACCTTCAGGGCAAGTGATTGTTTTTACTGGACTCTGCAATATCCAGATGAGAAGAACTGAGAAGAGTTCTTCTCAGGGTTGTTAAAAATAGGTTGTGCCAGACTAATCTCACTGCTTTTTTCAGCAAAGTGACTGTTATTAGATGTAGTGCACTTAGACCGCCGTATGGCATTCGATAGAGTTGACCACAGCCTCCTTCTTAATCAAATGGGACAGTGTGGGATGGACAGTCTCACTACCAGATATGTTCACGGCTGGTTGAACAGCCATCCCCAGCACCTGCTCCTTCATCTGATCTCACTCTGGTTTGCTTGACTGGTCTATGTCTACATGGAGGGAGGTAGCAGGCCACTGCTCTTCAAGGCTGTCATACATGAATTAGACAAGGGGACAGAAGGGATGCTCAACAATTTGCAGATGACATAAAGCTGGGGGGGAGGGGGAATTGCCTCAGAAACAGGCTCAAGGTTCAAAAGGATCTAGACAGACTTAAACACTGGGCCCCACCCAACAAAATGCAGTTCGGTGGTGAGAAACGCAGGGTCCTGCCCCTAGGTAGGAGAAGACAGATGCGCAGGTACAAGACAGGTGGTCCCTGGCTCGTACGCGGCCTTGGCAAGAGGGATCGGGGCATCTTGGCAGGCCACAGATTAAGCCCGAGCCAATGCAGTTTGGGGCTACATCGACAGAAGCGTAGCATCAAGCTCACGAGGAGTGACAGTCCTGCTCCATGCTGCACTGGTCAGACCACATCCGGAATACTGTGTCCAGTTCTGGTCACCACAATGCAAAAACAACACTGAGTACAGAGTAGGAGGAGTGACAAAGATGGTGAAGGGCTTGAAGGCTGAATCCCATGAGGACGGGTTAAACGAGCTGGGCATATTCAGCCTAGACTGAAAGAAAGAGGGTGTGGACTTTTTTCTCCGTGGTGCCCAAGGGTAGGAGAGGAACCATGCGTGAAAGTGTCATGAAGCGGGATCCAGACTTGGAATAGAGATTCCTGACCGTTGAGAGCCAAGAAGCAGCGGGGCAGCCTGCCTCCTGGAGCCATGGGGGTTCCGTCCCTCGAGGCTTTCAAACCATGGCTGGACAGCCATATCTCCGGGACGGTTTGAGGGTCTCTGCCCCGGAGGGGGTTGGGCTAGAAGACCTCCAAGGCGCCTCCCAACCCTCGGATTCCATGACTCAAAAGGGAGAAAGTATCCGGGGAAGATGGGAGGTCTACAAAATGAGGGGCTGGAGGCCCAACTGTGCACAGTCCCCACAGGAAAGAAAAATGGGGAAAATCCCAAGAGGCCCAAGATAAACTCCCACCACAGCAGCCCGTTGCTTCTTTGTCCTCCCGTTCTGACCCAAATATTTTCAATAGGAAAGCTAATTGAGCTAATTCCTGAAAATATGTGCGCGCGTCTATTTTCCTTTCTGTGCAGGGCGACATCCCCACCCTTTCTATTGGAAGAACTGCAGCCTTCCCGTGCAGCGGGCCACCATCAGCACCCCACCGAGGCTCAGGCATGCTGATTGCATCGCATTCGTCTTCCTGAGCTAGAACGTCTAATTCTCCATTTAATTCCATGGTCTC